AGCTTTTGGTCTACCCACATTTCCAAATGAAATTCTTCCATTTCCTTTGAAAAGCCATGAATGCTTTTAATATACTTCTAAAATATATAACAATGTGTGTTGAACATAGCTTTTCTCTCTTTTTCTAGTCCTTGAGAAGTGGAAAAAATGTATTATTGTTGTATTTTATGTGTTTATAGATAGAAACATAGAAACACAGAGTTGGAAGGGACCCTAAAGGTCATCTAATCCAACTCCCTGCAAACACAGAAATCTCAAGTAAATCATATATGACAGACGGTCATCCAATCTCTGCTTGAAATATATGTTAGAATTGATTTAATACTTGTCAACAGCTTTGAAGCCACTTTGGTAATGAAACAGTATATACATTACAGTATGTACATACAACAATATATACAGTATATACATACAACAATAATAATTAATTTCTGATCTTTCCTCATACCATTCAAAATTCTACAAACTGCTATTATGCCCCACTGAGCTGTTTCTTCTAAACTAAAATGACCAAGAATTATAAGTGCAACCTGCTAATTGGTTTAACCACTAGATTAATCTGTTGAAAGGTTACAGTGCATGAGGGCCGACTCTACAATTAGGCATAGTGAGGCAGCTGCTTCAGGTGGCAAATGGTAGGATGGGTGGCAGCAGCAGCCCCACTACTGTTCCTCCTGAGTGACTTGAGACCTCAAGAGCCAGTGTGGTGTAGTGGTTAAAAGCGGTAGTCTCGTAATCTGGTGAATCGGGTTCGCGCCTCCGCTCCTCCACATGCAGCTGCTGGGTGACCTTGGGCTAGTCACATTTCTCTGAAGTCTCTCAGCCTCACTCACCTCACAGAGTGTTTGTTGTGGGGGAGGAGGGGAAAGGAGAATGTTAGCCACTTTGAGACTTCTTAGGGTAGTGATAAAGCAGGATATCAAATCCAAACTCCTCCTCTAAACTCCTCCTTAGCCATTCCCTTCCGTTTGATGACAGAGATTTGTGTACCATGCAGGCTGCTCTGAGCTGCCTAAATTAACCTGCTGCTCCTAGTGGAAAGATGTTGTTCTGTCACCAATGCTAAACTAGGACTCAACTTCTAGCCCATTCAACTTCTGCATGATCACCTCAGGCAGCAAAATGCCCCGGGATTGCCCTTCTATGAATGTTTACTCTAAGACTCACTACAGGGAATAATGCCTTGTATGTGTCTTTAGGATTGCAGCCTTTGGGTATGAATATTAATAGGGCCACTTTTAATCAGTGAGGAAAATTTTAAATGAACGGCTGTACAAGTCAAGAGCAAATACATTTAAGTTGTTGTGATGTAATGTGACAAGGAATTTAAAAGAAAAGATTAAAGATGGCCCATATTTGTTGCTGGTAGATTTCTGTTTAATTGTAAATTATCTCATACTTTCCTCAGTACCTGAAAAGATACTTTTATTGAGGTTTTTGTAACATGTAAATTTATTTAAATTTGCTTAACTCAGGAATGGGCAACCTATGGCTCTCCAGCTGCTGTTGGACGCCAACTCCCATCAGTTCCAGCCAACATAGCCAAGGATCATGAATTATGGGAGTTGTTGTTGAACAGCGTATGGAGAGCCCCAAGTTCCCTTTCCCTACTTTAAAGGATTTAATGTTCTAAAAGAGAAATTGGCTGACAGCCTTCTGGAGGCTTTGTGCAGTTGCTGTTATGATTCACAATAGCCTCCTTCTAGAGAAGATTTTGAACATTGTTCACAAAATACTTGATTTCTTGGATTATTATTTTTTTGGATTTTTTTTGCTGCATTGAAATTTCCAAGCTTTGGGCAAAACATTCAGGACCCATAGTTACAATTGCATAGAACAAGTATAGGCAAACTCGGCCCTCCAGATGTTTTGGGACTACAATTCCAATCATCCCTGACCACTGGTCCTGTTAGCTAGGGATTATGGGAGTTGTAGTCCCAAAACACCTGAGGGCCAAGTTTGCCTATGCCTGGCACAGAACAACTACAGGGACCCTGGCCTTGTATTAGTCAAATACATTGTACCTTTAAATTATAATTTCACCTAGGTCCATATGGGCCGTAAGGGTTTCAGTGATTTTCCAGTTTTCTCTCTGGTTTTGGAGCTAATAATATGTGAATGAAAAAGAGTAGTTAGGTGACAAAAAGTGTGTTGTCCTTACCAAAACAGAATTTATTCTCTTCCAGCATGCAGGACAGAAGCTGTGAGCAAGCTGTTCCAATGCCTTTAATGATGGAGGCATATTCTGCAGAGAAGAGCACACATGTGGGAAACCATGAAAACACATCTGAGGATTCCTCATCTTATGAACTCTTCTATGATTCCCTATCAGACATACCAGATGGGGAACTTTCAAATGAGCTATCTGCCTTTCTTAGTGACGAAGAGATAAGCAAAAGCCTGGAACTTGCTCACACATCTATTGTGAATTCTGTAAAGGAGGATGGGAACGCAAACCAGGAGTTCACATATTACTTCAACACTTCTCCAAACTCACTAGATAATGCCTCTTCCATTGAGACCAATGGGGATAGTCAAAACACTTCCAATAGGACTCAGGTGACCAGCCCAAACTCACTACTGATTTCAGCTCAAACTCTCCCAGACCAGAACTTGTATTCTCAGGAAGCAAACAACATTCACAATGTTACTGGGAAACCATCCGGCATATCTTCCCTGCTGCCTGCAAGACCCAGCTTCATTCGGAGCCTAAAAAATGCTGAAAGGTGTGGTCCAAGCATGCAAAAGCTGAGCCCCAAATCTAAACCAACTTCTGCAGGTGATGTTCCCTTCAAGAATAAGATGTGTGACAAAGCGGCTACTTTAATTGAAGAACTCTCTTCCATCTTTCGTGAAGCAGCCAAGACAAGAGTCAGGAGCCCTGACGGAAACTCCTCTTCTCCAGATAGTGGGTATCTTTCTCCTAAAAACAAGCAACCAACCATGCCTAATTCCATAAGGAATCCAACCCCTGACAAAACATGCCCGGATATCACACCTGTGAATAAGGTGCCTGAAGACACTCATACTGGAGAGTCTGTGCTCCAAAGGAAAGAAGACTGCAAGGCCAGTGAGAATGCTTCCCTGTACCAAGTCACAAAAGAGATACACAGTCAACCTTCACCCCCTCGATTTACCCAGAAACTCAGGAGTCAAGAAGTTGCGGAAGGAAGGAAGGTCCTGCTTGAGTGCAGAGTCGCTGGAAATCCAACACCTCATGTCAGGTAAGACTGGTATTTCAATCCCAACATCTCCTGGGATGGCCATTCTGTTCCTCATATATGACTAACAACTGCTTTATCTCCACACGATAATCTTTATTTAAAAAGGAAGAAGGGTTTTAAAAAAAATCTTCAGATTTTGATCTTAATGGGAATGTATTGCTATGGACCAGCAAAATAATCTCATAATCTGTTCCTATATATTTGAATCACATATATACTAGCAGTGTTTAGCAACCACAAGATCTGCATTCTATCTGTCTCAATAGTGTTTGGAAGCACTTAGACCCTGCTTCCACAGCCAACTCAGAGGAAAATGATGACCCACGTGAATAACATCTCTGTTTGTTTATTTCAACACCCCTCCCCACAAATCACTGTGATTGGAATGGCCTCGGAAACTAATTCAACCTGAGCAAGGCTTGTTATTCTATATTTCTATGCTTAATAGTTCTGTCTTTAGTAGTGCTTTCCACCAATTTAGCTGATGCAGACATCAAAGGTTTGTAGTTTCCTGGATCCTCCATATCCTCCTTTTTTTAAATGCAGCATGGATTACAGGAAGCAGTAATTAAGATTATCATCCATACAATATATTAATTACACAACATCTGGTAGTTGCATCTCATCCCCTTCCTGCAAACAGTCAAAGACTTAAGGGTGCATACTATCAGGCACAGATTTCCAAATTTTCCATAGAGATGCAAAGAACCCGGGCTCTCCTCCAAGGTGCATGACATCTGAAATTAAAAACAATAGGAATGGGGTACCTAATCATGCATTAGCATTTGAACTCGCATAACCTGAAGTCAGTGCAACACTGCCATGCAGGAAGTAGTTTTTGGGGTTTTTTTTAAAGGATTTAAGTGTATTGTAAAAGTGCCTCCTAAACTCAGCAAAATGAATTTGATTTGCTGATTTCCAGTGCATAAACACAAGTAAAATGTGTGACCTAACAGCTATGTAGGGAATGCCTTCTTAACCTTAACATATCAGTTTCCTTTGCATATCAAATGTGTTCCTTAAAAGAGTGTGAGGTCAATAGAGTTGTCATTCATTCACATTTTGGCAAGCTTATGTTCTTACAGTTATGGTAATTACTTTCACATGCAGCCAGTGCTTTTCCATTCTCCCTCTCCTCCATGCCCCTTAATTCCATGTGAACCTTACAGTGGTTGTGCTCAGATAAACTGTGGTACGTAGCGATGGGAATGGAGGGCTCCTACGTGTGACACATACCGCACTATGTATCCATGTCAAATGGAAGAGGACAGGCCACCTTCAAAGAGAGAGTTCCTCGTGAGCTCGTTTCTTCCCTTGGCTGCTTCCAAATATGACAATAAACTGTTGTTTATCATGACAGAGTTGAATCCAGCTTCCCTTATGGCTTATGCACTGCTCCTCATCCCTCTTCTCCAAAACTGATTAATCTTAACTAAAGTGTTTAAAAAAGAAAAGGGGGTGGGGACCAATTTCAGGCCAAGCTTGTCTCAAGCTCGTTTTTTCTCAACAAGCCATGATTAAGATCAACCTTAGTTTAAAGTTAGGGTGCAATGCTAAACTGTGGTTAATTGAAATTGGAAGTGAAAGCTTCCATTCCAGACTTACAGCTGCGCTGGAGAAAGAGATGGGAAAGGGAGCATATAAGCCTGGACAGAGGCTTGGTTAGGAACAAAGGAAGTTGCCTTAGACTGAGTCAGACCACTGGATCCACCTATCTTGGTACTGACTGGCAGCAGCTCTTCAGGGTTTCAGGCAGGAGTCTCTCCCAGCCCTACCTGGAGATACCTGGTGATCACACCTGGGACCTTCTGCATGCAAAGCAGATGCTCTGACCACTGAGCTATGGCCCTTCCTCATCTCATTGGCTCGTTCCTCTCATGATAATGTCTGACTGTAGCCAATCTGTAGATGCAAATTTCAGTTCTCAACTTTGTATCAAACACCTCACCACTACCAAACATTCCAATATTAAAATCTAGCCACCCCGTTCCTATGATTAAGGATTATTTCATACACTCCTCAGGTTCACACATTTATTGGACTAGCACGAGCTTTTGTATGGTGAATGGATAAGGGCACCCTATCCTGTTATTCGGAGACAGAAGAAGATGCTGCTGTTGCTGAACTAAAGATTGTAAGAGTATAAAAGCGTATTGGAGCACACTTTGTCCAATTTGAGAAACGCTATTATTCTCTCCAGTTTCATAAGCAAAACATATCAAATCTCATTTAGATGTCCATTTATTTTGTTTGTTTGTTTGCTTGCTTGCTTGCGAGACTTTAGCTCAGGTGGAGCTGGTAGAGAATGATGTCCGAAATCTTGGAGAGATGCTGCCAGTCAGTGTAGACAATATTAACCTAGAAAGACCAATGGTGTGACTCAGTACAGGGCAGCTTCCTATGTTCTTATGTTAATATCCACTATAGCCCCAAATGCTCTTACATCCTCAGCTTATCAAGCCGATTTCTAAATACAGTGGTACCTCAGGTTAAGTACTTAATTCGTTCCGGAGGTCCGTACTTAACCTGAAACTGTTCTTAACCTGAAGCACCACTTTAGCTAATGGGGCCTCCTGCTGCCGCTGCGCTGCCAGAGCAGGATTTCTGTTCTCATCTTGAAGCAAAGTTCTTAACCTGAAGCACTATTTCTGGGTTAGTGGAGTCTGTAACCTGAAGAGTCCGTAACCTGAAGCGTATGTAACCTGAGGTACCACTGTATATAGTTTTCCCAGTTTTAGCCTGGTGTCTTTCCCCTGTGGTCTGTCCTCTCAGAACCCCATCATGTGCTTCAGAAAGCCAAAATCTATTTATATTTCCATCCTAACCATCCTTCTGGAATATATCTGGGCAGATTTTTTCCTTTCACTGGGCAGATAGATGGGAAAACCATCTGCGTCCCCATATCTTCTGGCCTTGCTCTGAAGTGCCCAGTTGGTGGTGCCCATGATGAATAAGCTTAATGAGCCTGTGCAACTTTTCCAGGTGGGCACCAGGCAAATATCAGAACCCCTTGGATGCCAGAGCAGGTCAGCAAATAGGCCTCTCATGTTGCGCACAATTATTTCTGTGGAACAGTGGGAGCAAGTTGTCCCTCAGCACTAAGCAACACTAGCTCTGATTCTGCTTCAGTAACCTGAGAACTGGGCAGCAGGAATGAAGGAGAGAGGAAGTTGAGCTTCCAGCTTTGCTAGAAAGAGGAAAATCACCTCTGATCCTTCAAATACCCAGGTATATGTTTAGGGCTAAGGAAGGAGCACATATTGCCAAAGGGGAAAATGTTTTTATTTTTGAAAAAGATCTTATATACAAATAGTGAGCTCCTTTTCGTAGTGTGGATCCCTATGCAGCCAAATGGCACCATCCACACAGAAAGGCCAGAGTTTTGTTATGTGAGCTAGAAGCTGGAAGCAAAGCAGCAAGCTGGGAAGCCAGAGAGTCAGAGCCATGCCCGATTTCTGCTTGAATCCAAGGCTGTGGCTATGGGTGAACCCTTCCATCATAGGCTCAGGTTGTATATATGTGTAAATAAACCATATATCATAAAGACACCACAGTCTCTGCTGCTCCTCATTCTAAAGGAAACCCAACCCAGGGTAAGCGCCTGAACTCTGTGGATAAGTTGCACCTCTCAGAGATTGGGGTGGCGTGCAACAGTATTCAAGGGACATCTGTGAGACAACTATCAAACGTGAACTCACCCTAAGGCAGAACATGCAAAAAGTGAAAGCGCATACTTCTGCGCATTGATACTCTACAGTGGTACCTCAGGTTAAGTACTTAATTAGTTCCGGAGGTCCATTCTTAACCTGAAACTGTTCTTAACCTGAGGCACCACTTTAGCTAATGGGACCTCCTGCTGCCGCCGTGCTGCTAGAGCACGATTTCTGTTCTCATCCTGAAGCAAAGTTCTGAACCTGAAGCACTATTTCTGGGTTAGCGGAGTCTGTAACCTGAAGCGTATGTAACCCGAGGTACCACTGTATTGTATTTCTTCCAAGACCTGCCCACATGACTGTACTTTTAATGCACATTCAAAACACATTTTCTCCCTTCAAAGAATTCCGGGCAACGTAGTGTACTCCTCAGAGTTACAATTCCGAGCAACCCTTATAACAAGCTGCAGTGCCCAGAATTTGATTTGAATGTGCTTTAAAGGTATAATGTGTATGCAGCCCAAGCATCAAGAAAAATGTTGTTTGTGTGCAGGCTGTGTTTCTTTCAGAGGGGCTGCTTACAGTGAATATGGTTAATTGCTATTTTTTGTTGGTGAGGCATCTGTCACTGAACCTAGGGACACTGAATTCTTTGATTTGTAAAGTATTCATACACAGCCACTGCCTCTTGTTTTATCCCAAGAAGCCTCATTTTATCTTTTTTCAAATCAAATCAGCACAATTCTTACCTCCTTGTTTCACTAAAAACAGTTTACACTGTCAGTTTAAGGCTGCAGTTGTACACGTACATCCCTGAGAATTGTCCCTACTAAACACAGAGGGGTTTACTAATTAGTAGAGTAGCATAGGACTGTGCTGTAAGTGTAATTGCTTCAGCTCTTCTTGTAACATTTTAAGGTACAGCACTATCCAGAATGGATGTTGGATAGTTGTTAAATTGCTGCACATTAATTTTACCCTGCTGCATTATGTTAAGCTACATATTCTTCCCCTGTCCATAACAAGGACTGTTTATTTTAACTATACAAAGTGATGGGAAGTGGGAAAACCTGGAAGGCTACTAGACAGATTTTGACAGCTGTGCAATTGTCTGTGTTTTGCACTGTTGTTACATTTCTTTAACTGAAGATGTCACTCTATCTCAAGTGAGGCAAAGGAAGGGGAGTACTTTAACTGTTCCTTTTTTAGTGAGCAACACCAGGGGGCAGAACATTGCATTTTTACATGTACAATCAGCTACTCACAGAGTTCATGTTGAACAGTAAACTTTGTGCTGTTATTCAGATCACTTTTTAGGAAATCCATGTTAGAGACCACCTTAGATTATTGATTTAAAGACTTAGCAGACTGTGGAGACATCTATAAATAGAGAGAGAGAGAGAGGTCTAATTCAGTTTTCATTTATATTTTTAAATAATATTATTTTAATGCATTTTATACAGCTTGGCAGTTTTGAAAGTTTTAAATATTCACTTGTTCAAGTGATATTGTACAGAAATGTAGTGGAGGGTTTTTTTTAACACCCTCCCCCCACAACTTCCAGTAAATTCTGCATTGTTAAGTTTAAAAAATTTCCTTTCTCCACCCACCAGACTGAAGAAAGAACAGCTATAGTTGTTATAATTTATTCAATAGCAGCAGATGGTGGTGCTGTAAGACAGGAGCTAATTGGGTTGTATCCAGACTAAGTTAGGTGTACTTATGTCCCACTGACAACCATTAAAAAAGTTAGCTCTAACTTAACTTGGGCCTCATTGATTTAAATGGAGTTCAACCAACATAGTTTGGATCTAGCCTACTGTTTCTTCAGATTTTAGAATTGAATTTGAGGATGGAGAATGTACAGTGATTGCAATCTACTGCCACACTCATAAGTCATAGCCTAAATGTCCACATCAATTGACCATGTTTCAAAATGTTTATTAAAAATCCTATACAGCTCCTTAAAAACTCTCCTGCATGCTCTTGCACACAATAACTTTGGTCAGCTATGCTTGCAGAAGCCACATTCGTTCTGAAAGATGAAATATTCTATAATTTTACTTTTTGTAACCATCTGGTCTGGGACTAGTCACTGACCAGACGGAAGATTATCTGGGAGTCCTAATACATCATCTTGAGTTCCATGAAAGAAAAACAGGATATACATGAAATAAAATAAATGATAGATTTCTATTTTTTTTAAAAAAAATTAGCTGAATTTGATTTTAAAGGAGATATTGTCAGAACCAAACTAGATGTGACACTGTTCATGCAGTTAGCAATTGCATGGATATTTTTTCAGAGTAAACAGCAGGTACAGAGGGACCCAATTCTGACTGGGACTGCAACCGGGCGGAATGCTTCCCATCCTTTGCTGCAGTCCCAATCCAGACTGGGGCCTCTGCTTGACATTTGCATTGGAGGAAAGATACCATTGGGGCCAAAGGGAACTTTCCACCTCATGAAAATAGGTGGCGTGAGTTCCTTGACCAAGATGGGAAACAAAGTGGCATTTGCACAGTGTCAACCACATCACTGCCTTGCTCCTCCTACTCGCCCTCCTAATAAGCGGCACGGCCTGCATAATACATTCTCTACAGGTCTACCTGTGCTCTAGAGAGAGAAAGGCCACTTTCTTACTAATATGCTGAAATGCTGAGCCGCCTAATCCTTTAAGAGTGATAGTCAAATCTGCCCTTTTGTAAACTCAAGTGAGGAAGCAGTTTTATTGCCAATACATTTGTAATCGTTTTGGGAACTCGGCTCTTCTAACATCTAGCTGTGCTGTTTTGCAAAAACTACATTCTGTAACATGTGCTGATGTGCCCCACAGTCTTATGTGTGGGAGGGAAAATAATCACTCCTTGATCTCTCTCTCCCCTCCCCCTCCCCCCCACTTATGCATAGATTTGGAGCCCTGGGGCTGCTATAAATTTGGTAAAAACAAGCTTTGCAGCAAGTTCTCTATAAATCAAGACCTGTTGTTAAGAGGGAGTGTTTGGGGAGAAAGGTGGTGTCATGAGATTGGCAATGTCTTCTTCCAGAGACTTAATTGGCTATAATATCCCAGTTGCTCTTGTCAACAGAACTTGGAAAACATTGGGAATAATTCAGACATGCATGTACATTTCTTGATATATCTAGTCGTTCAGTGACTCACAGATGAATGCAGCGGCTCATCCAGGAGTTTA